GATAATAGTAATGTTATTCATGGTTTATTAGAATGTAATTACTATCAAGACACCAAAAAAAGCTACTTCAGAAAAACATTTCATACTTACTTGCTCAAATTACTGGAAGAAACAGAAAAACTTGATAAGTGATACACTACAAAATTCACCAAATGAAAACTCTTTCTCACTGTGTCACAGCGAATGTTTTTTTAACTGAAAAAAATTTTTCATTTCCTTACCTACCATAACCAAGACACATTATTGAGAAATTCTTCAAGATCTTGTTTTTGTGATCTTACACCTTTTAATGAAGATGGGAACATTGACAGGGAAATAGATTTGAATGAAAAGGTTTCGTAAAGAGTGCGAATGGTAGTGTGATGTAAAATTACTCATGCTAGAAATTTTCATAAATGTGACCCAAAAAATGACACTAACTTGGTAACCCATGGCCTGATTTTAACTAAACTTGTTTTATTCTATTTCTATTCTCATTTCAGGGGGTACAAATATGTGTACCATTTTTGCTGTATTTAATTACAGACAAGCAAACAATCTCAGAGTTTTAGTAGTATATAGATAGATGTATCCGATACTTTTGTAAGTTAGCACAACACCTAAGTGTTATATTCAATGGCATGTTTGTTTTTAATTAATGCTTCACAAAGCAAAACAGTTTATGAAAATTATATTACAGTGTCAAATTCATTTTCAATGATCAATGCAGTTGGCAAAAGTATTTTGATGTAACTATGGTTTACATATCACACACTGTATGTTACATTAGCTTGTATGTTGTTTAATAATAAACAACTTAAAGTTGTTGTGCTTACGTTGCCAACATTTGACGAAATAGGGAAATAGATTTGAATGAAGAAGTTTTGTAAAGAGCGCGAACGGTAGTGTGATGTAAAATTACCCATGCTAGAAAGTTTCATAAAAGTGACCCAAAAATGGTGCTAACTTGGTAACCCGTGGCCCGATTTTAACAAAACTTGTTTTATTCTGTTTCTATTTCTATGACATTTATAGTAATATTTATAGTGACCAAATAGTGATATTGATAGTAATATGTATAGTGATATTGATAGTAATATGTATAGTGATATTGATAGTAATATGTATAGTGATATTGATAGTAATATGTGTAGTGATACTGATAGTAACATGTATAGTGATATTGATAGTAATATGTATAGTGATATTTATAGTAATATTTATGATGACCATATAGTGATATTCATAGTAATATTTATAGTGACCATATAGTGATATTTATAGTAAAATGGATACTGACCATATAATGATATTTATAGTGACCATATAGTGATATTTATAGTGACCATATAATACTTAGTCATATTTATAGTGACCATATAATGATATTTATAGTGACCATATAGTGATATTTATAGTGACCTTATAATGATATTTATAGTGACCTTATAATATTTATAGTGACCATATAATGATATTTATAGTGACCATATAAAGATATTTATAGTAATATTTATAGTGATCATATAATGATATTTATAGTGACCATAAAATATTAATTATAGTAATATTTACAGTAACCATATAATGATATTTATAGTAATATTTATAGTGACCATAAAATATCTATAGTAATATTTACAGTAACCATAAAATATTAATTATAGTAATATTTATAGTAACCATATAATGATAATAGTAATATTTATAGTGACCATATAATGATATTTATAGTAATATTTATACTGACAATATAGTGATATTTATAGTAATATTTATGCTGACCATATAGTGATATTTATAGTGACCATATAGTGATATTTATTGAGTTTCTGAGTTTTGTGATTCATCTAAAATATAATAACTAGTTTACACATGAAAATGTTTTCTTTGAAATTTCATTTTAAGTACTTTTCCATCTTTTTTTTAATACATAATCAACTTTTTACAGTTTGAATTTACCTTTTTATTGTTTATATAATGTATCAGTTAATGCTTAAGTCGGATATTGTATAGTTTATAAAAACACTCTGTGTGCTGATATTTTTTAAAAATGCTAAGAATCGAGTTTCAATACCCATAGTACAGATAGCCTATTTTGTATCTTCATTTTTAGCAACAAACTTGGTTTTATTTAGTGTGCTTAGCAAGGCTGATTAGTTCATGTACTATAATTACATTTACTTTTGTTTTCTTTTCATTACTTAGCAAAGTTAAATGTTACACATAGATGTTTAGGAAGTTTGAGTTTTCCCTTCATTATCATGACTTGAGTCTATAACTTTCTTTAAAGCAGATTCATTTCAGTGAATCAGATGAAATTATGAAATATTTTTAGATTTTTAACTTGGTAAATGATGATCATTGAACAAATGATAGAGGGTTTAAGCCACAAAAATCTGTGTTTTAATTTAGTAATACTAACATTAATTAATAATTTACTGGATTTATTTTTTATATGCACAATTGTTAGTGGTGTTTTAATTCCATTTTTGAAAATAAAATACCATTAACGCTAGAAAACTAAGACTACTTTTTCTAATGGCCAATGCTTTGACAGGTATCTTTATCAACGAGAGTTTAGTATAGTCTGTAGCAATAATTACTGTTGAATGTATATAGGTTGAACAGAGCTACTCTACAGTTGGTGCTAAATGGTTGGTAGTACATGTATATGGTTGGCAGTACATGTATATGGTTGGTAGTACATGTATATGGTTGGTGCTAAAGAAAATATTATGAAAACAGTTGACACCATTTTAATTCTTTGTTTTAGAGTAAGATTTTAGACATTAAACTGTGTTCTGAATGAAACAACTGTATAGCCACTTCTGCCAATTCTGTGTGTGTATCCTAAGAACTCCTTGAAGAAAGCATAAGCCAAAATGTTGGACATAAAATAAACGTATAACCTATATTTCTGGAAGTAGCAGTCATTTATTTGCACTAGGTGTATCTTTGTTGCTGTGTCATGTAAAAATACTTTTCCTTCAAAGTTATCAAAGTAGTTGTGTATATCTACTTCCTAGGATGGAGGGTCTTTGGACTTGGTGTTGAAAAAAGCTGGAAGAATACCAGAAGAGATACTGGGAAAAGTGACTGTTGTTGTAAGTGTAATTGAAGTTTTGTTTCAGTATATGTTTTATACTTTGGTCGTCATTTTCTCCCATACATCAAACTGTCTTGGTAATGAGTTCTTTACCAAAATTCAAAACTTGACACTAGTATGTACATAGTACTTTTATAGTATGTCTAAGACAAAGAATAACTACAAATCTTTCTTGAGCAGAGGAACACAATGCAACTTATATTTAACTTGAACAGGAAAAGTGAAGTATGTTAACCTTGATGATATTGTAAAAAAATCGCTACTTAAGAACATAAGAACAAAATTAGTGACAAACTTCTTGCTATGGGTAGGTCAAAGTGTATATCTCACAACCTTTTATCAGAGTTACATTCAAATTTTAATTAAACTCTTTAAACTCTTTATTATCAATGAATACAAATAAATGTGGCATCAATACTTAATTGATAAATCAAATTTTGATATTATACAAGTTTTAATTTCTTGATTTTAAATGGAAATATTCATATAAATTCTCAAACTCATTTTGTACATGTATTGTGAAATTTGTTCACTAAGACTTACCTATCCTCTATATTTGAATCACCCCTCTCTGATGAGCTGAGTTTAACTTAAATTATTCACTATAGTGTAGGTATTTCTAAGGTAAAGTCCAGTTTTTATAATGTTCAAACTTCTTTGTTTGCAGAGGTATAAACTAGAAATTCAGATCCACTTGCCATACCAATCTATTGTGTGATCTCTTTCACATATGACCAATAATTCTCTCTGACATTTTCTAGTACATCATTTATAACCAATAGAAAGACAAAGTTTTAATTTATTGAATGATGTATAATGCTACTTTGTTCTCAGTAGACACTCTTAATTGTTTTACTTACAGATTGAAACTGATATTGCTGAATTAAGATCAAGTACCTAAGGGAATTATTTCAAGGCACTTATGCCTTAGCTAGAAAGCCAGTTAAATTATAATAAAACATCATGAAATTGTTTACTTTGTGCTTCTTATTATATTGTCTTCTTAACTGCATACTTGAAATAAGTAGAAGTTATTTATTTTACTAGTACTACCATTAAAAAAATTTAAGCTTAAGTGTCACTGGTGTGACAACAGCAAAAAAAAAAGGCCGAACATGAGTACTAAATTTCTTATTTTGTTGGTATATTTTTTATTTATTTTTATACAAGTAACTAAAATGTAAAAACATTAGGTTGGATAAGGTTAGATTAAGTAAGATAATGAAAAACATTTCTTGACAGGGTATGCTCATGACTATTTTATGTGTTACGTTATTCAATATGGTAGCTTGAGCTACATGTTTGCAGAGTGGTTTACAACTTGATTGGTTGGATTATTAATTAGACAAGTAGTAACAGATGTAGACTGTTAAGAGCCTGAAGCTATTTAGGATAAACAGTTGTAGCAGGGTTTGTATGGGTTTTGGAAAATCTTAGAAAACTGAAGAATTGCCAGGGTCTGGAAAGTTTTGGAAAAATGAAAATTTTGTCATGTCAATATTATAAACCAGTGTTTTCCATAATTTGTTTATTTGATGATTACATCATATGATATCCAATAGCGACAATCTTCCAAGCGAGCCCTTCGTGTTTTTCTTTAGTAAAGAGCATGCAATGCACATGTGCATGCGTGAATAGCAATTTGAATTACTTCAGCATTCAGCAAGGTTGAATGAGGCCATCAATATCTGAGATTCACCATTCAAGCAGTTATGTACTCGTAATTCATATGTTTTTTCCATCATTATTTTTATGTTATATGGTATTGACTTGAGTATGTACTTGTGTAAAATGTGCCACCCAAATGTATATTTAACAAATGCAAGACTTCTGAAGGATGAATGGAAGGAATTATTAGTTATGGGGGCACATCGCCAAGAAGCTTGTTGCAATGTGTGCCATAAAAAGTTGGATTTTGGCAATATGGGCAAATTTGTGGTGATAAGCCGTATGAAGGGGAAAAAGCACGAAGCTAATGTGCATAAAAAAATATTGCACTCATCAACAGCTGCCACACTGACCATTTGCAGTTTGATAGTTTGCTGATGCCAGATAGAACATCGACAGTTAGGCCTACTTTTGTGACAAATCAACATGACACTATAGTTCAACAAGTAAGTAAATAATATTTCTAAGTTAGATTTAATATTAAAGAGAATGGGCCAAATTTCATTGATTTAAATGCATAATACAATTTGATAAAATTGCATTATTCTGCAATTAGCCTTTGGATGATTCTTTCCTTTTCATCTAAGTGCCAGCACCTCATTATGCAGTTTATTCATTACAGGGCAGACTGGATTTATATGTTTAAAAAGAAGATGAATGGAAAGTTGAGGTTTTGTGACCATTGTTAACCAACATAGATATAAAAGCTGTGAAAACATAAATGAACTGTTTAAAAAGATGTTCCCATATAGTAAAACCTCATCCAAGTTCTCTTGGGGAAAGAAAAAATGTGCACATGTAGCTTGTTTTGGATTGGCCCCATATATGAAGTCAAATTTTATCAAAAGCTTGGAGAAGATACAGACTGTGCTCTTTTACGACAAATCTGTAACTCTTTCAACACGGGCTCGGTCAATTTGACCAACCACATGACTTCTTTGTACTCAATTAAAGTTTTTATAGATTTAATACTTCTAACTTTCAATATAGTATGTATATCTTCACAAAATTTGGCAGTATTTCAGTTCATATTATAAGTCCTTTCACATACAAAAAAATCTTATTTTTATTGAAGTATTTTTAATAAAATAAAATATAGATTTGTCCATTAATATATTAAGTATTAGTTTTGAATAGTCCGTCTGCAAAGTAATTTTCATGTTAAAATTAAAAATACTTTTTCTCATTTCAAAAATCTCAAATTGCCTTTGTGTAATCTCCAAAACCTCCTAAGTGCATTTCAAACGTTTTTTTTTCAATAAAACTTTATACTTTATCTCTTATCTTCTCTACCCTATCTCAAAACGGGATCGGTCAGTTCGACTGACCTCGTAACCACCAAAAAAAATTTAAATAAATCTAAATTACCCTTCTTTTTCTTACCAGAATGACTTCAAATGGTAACATGAAACTACATTCATTTATTCTAAGTAGCTCCAAGTTCATAACAGTATACATCTATTTATAATTAAATTTTATTGTTTTATTGCCATGTCTGACTACTATCTGTGCCCTTATAAGTTGTAAATCACTCGGGGCACGTGTAGCCCATGTTACACTATTGAATTGCATTAACCATGAGCTGCTCATGTGTGTGTCTCATGAAACATTTCAATTGTTATGACAGCTGAAGTCATGAGATGCTGGGAGCATGCACGCTGGAGTTTCTAGAAGGATCATGACTTAGCAAGAAACCTCCCAAATGTCCGAGTGTTTGTCAGGCACCATCTTATTTAGTATATAAGCCCGGCAAATAAAGCCAGCGAGAGGGAGATATACAGATAGATTGAAGATAGAGATAATTGAGTCAAGCAAACAATAGGCACCATAAGTAAAATGTGTGAATCGCTGTGATTTATAGTGTGTGTGTTATAAAGGTTGTTAAGTTTGAAGTGATTGTGGAAATTCTGTGTATTACAAAAAGTTGTATCAAGAAACAATAACCTAGTTTTAATTAAGAAAGGACTTGTATCATTGAAGTTCCTCGGAAAGAATTTATACCGGAAATTAACAAACAAGCAGATACGTAACACAATTATATTATTATTATTTATTTTTACCTAATCTAGTCTTAAATAATTTACAAAGATCTGTATTTTTAGATTTTAGTTACTTTTATAATAATAAATATGAAAAACAATTAATAAAGTACTTACCCAATCTTCTATTTTTTTTACTCTTGGGTTTTCAATGAGAGTTAACCCAAATTTTTATACTATAGATAGCAATGCACTTAATTTTTATTTAATTAAATAATTCACCAAATAATGTAGACTAATAACATGCAAAAAGTAGACAAATTCACTTACCTCTCAAAATTTTCCTGGCTTTCTAACTATGCGACAAGAGCCATTATAAATTCATTCAAGCTAGTCGTTAACTTTTCCATGAGAATGAATCTTGTACTGTGAGTGAAATTTATGATATTCTGTTCAGAATACAACATTATACAATACATCATTTGATAGATGAAAACCTTGACTTTCTATTGGTTATAGGTAATGTATAATGAAACGTGAGAGAGAACTATCTACAAATTGTGAAAGACAGGATGTGACAGGTGGGTGTGGCACGAGGGGTCTGATTTTCTATTTGATAGCTCTGTAACCAAACCAAATTGAAGACTATAAAACTTAGGATTTGTTTAATCAATAGCGATTTTATAGAGTATTTTGCATTTAATTTTGTACTTTTTTTGAGGGGTGGTGGATAAAATACGGATGAGGACCTGCTAAAAGAAAGTGCCTCATAAGCTGGTAAGATTTTGTTAAAGATCATAAGTATCTTGTACACAAAGAATGACATTAATATGATAAAGATTTTTTTACTAAAAATATGTTATTTATTTATTGTAATTACTTGCACTCAAACTTTTAACAAATCAAGTGCAAGGTAATTTTAATTTTAAGTATTAAAAATAATATTCCTTATTGAATAGTTTTCATATTTCATTTGCATAATCTCTAGAATCTCCTAATAGAATATCAAAAGCTTTTTAAGGTAGATGTTTATATTTTTATTGTCTCTACCATATCATTAACTCTAGCTATTATCATCAACGAACAATGGAATGAAATAATTATAACAAGGAAATAGGAAAAAATACATACCTTTTAATTTTTTATAGAGTATCTTTAAAGATTTTCCTTCTGTTAAATTCGTAATTTCAGGTCTTTTTCTTTTCACATATAGTTAATTTTTAATGTTTTATTTTCCTTTCTTGTCCTTTACCACTTATTATTTTTCTTCACACAAGTCAAAAGTGCCCTCGAAGCATATTACTTTTTCTCTGACAGACATGTACAACCCCTATAGCAAAATTTTCGTGCGCTGCTTAATATCATAAGCCTTGAGAACTGATGCAAAATATGGTGTACATTTAAAAATTATTTAAACATTTTAATTATGTATTTCAGAACATAGCTAATACATAATTAACTAAAAATATAAAATAAGACCTAATTACAATTTAAACTGTATCTCTAACTACAACATATTTAGGTAAGAAACAACCATAAGTACTATAGTGGATCAAGCAGACTATAATACTACAGTCAGTTACATATACCCAATGATGACCACTGTGCACCATTTTCAAAATAACCATTGTTAGATTATAGTGTAAAATGAGTTCATTCTAATGACTCTACACATGTGTATGTAACATCTACATGTAGGCTATAAAGCTCAAACAAACCTGTTCAAGATGGGCATGGCATCAGTCAGAGTTTGAAAACATTTATTACTTGTTTCAACTGCATTCATTCACAGAACTTTGAAATGTGCGAGTCAGAAGGTTATAGAAGCATCTTAGTGTCTAGACGTACATCGACACACTGCCATTCTATTATTGAAGATACAGAGTGCAAAATTAGAGAATGTTCATAGCTCATTGGTCATGTGACAATACATCTGAAGTTTTAAGTAGTTTTTAAAGGTTTATTTTGAAATAAAGGACTTAAAACTTAGATAACATATAACTTCAAATCATAACATATATTATATTGTTAATTTTATTCAAATACAGTGATATTAAAGTGTTTAGTTAAATTATGAATGTAACACAGTGACTTGTGCAGAAAAGTGTTTAAAGAGGTAACCATTGTGAAAGAGTTAACGATCACAAGTACTTAGAAGTAAAAGTGTAAGTTGTAAGTGGGATATATGAATAAATAAATATACTTTATAAACTTTATTACAAATCAGGAGTATAATGCAAAAGAAATTAACATTTCATTTCAACATTTTTACCAAGTTAAAAACATTTATTAGCTATCTGGTAATAAAAAACAATCAAAAACAAACTGGTAAGTGATGCACTGAGAAGTAAATTCTTTCCCAAGAAACTTTAGCGATACAAGTCCTTTCTTAAATAAAACTAGCTTATTCTTTCTCAATACAACTTTGCAATACACTTAATATAATTCACGTGCTCGACTCAATTTTCAGTCTCTATCTTTGTCTGCAATTCAATTCCATTGTTGCCGTCACTTCCTGGTGGTCTTATATACAAGAATACCACACATCTAGTAAACACTCAAGGGACATGAATTTTCTAGAAGCTCATGACGTGTTACTAGCATCACGTGACTTCCGCTGTCGTAACAGTATGAGTAAATGGAAAATATATGAAAATTAGTTTTAACATTTTTATGCTAAAAAACGACATAAGATGTATATACAAGCACATTTTAATAGCTGATAGCAAGAAGGTAGATATTGTTTAAAAGAATTTCTACCTCTTGTTCCCAGTAATGTTCATCAATAGATAGTTCTCTAAAAGGGTTATTGTGAGCTACAAAAGCTGTTAGTAGATGATTGAACACAGGCCTGACTTTGAAGAGTTTATCATATTTATCATCAGTTTTAGGTAGATTATTAGTATCGTTATTGAAAAGAAGGAAGTGAGTGATAGTTAGAATGTTTTTGCAAAAAATTACTGAATAAAACCAGGGTAAGTGATGTGATGGACTATTATCCCAGTATTCTGCAAGAGATGGTAAGCGAGTTATGTCCATAGCATTAGCAACACCAGTGAAATCTAACATTTCTTCAGGAGTAGCCACTTTATTTCAGCATTTTTCCTTTCTTTCTGACATTGATGTTTAGGTGTCAATGTCTAACAGACAAATTACAACCATCAACCAATGTCATTTTGTCTACTTAAACAATGTCTAACAGACAAATTACAACCATCAACCAATGTCATTTTATCTACACAGTCAATGTCTAACAGACAAATTACAACCATCAACCAATATCATTTTGTCTACTCAGTCAATGTCTAGCAGACAAATTACAACCATCAACCAATGTCATTTTATCTACTCAGTCAGTGTCTAACAGACAAATTACAACCATCAACCAATATCATTTTATCTACTCAGTCAGTGTCTAACAGACAAATTACAACCATCAACCAATATCATTTTGTCTACTCAGTCAATGTCTAGCAGACAAATTACAACCATCAACCAATGTCATTTTGTCTACTCAGTCAATGTCTAACAGACAAATTACAACCATCAACCTTTATACTTCTTGATCCAATTAAAAAGTGCCAGCAGGTGGGGACTACTTTTATAATATAGTACTTAAGAGTGTTAGGGCATTATTATTTGTAGTAACAATTGTATTTAACAGCAACATTTTGATAGCTTAGCTTTGATGTTAGAGAGAGGCAGATTGAAACCTCTTTCATTGGCAGGATGTATGGAGAAACTTAAACTATGATCTAATATAGGGATTATGGAGAAACTTAAGCTATGGTCTAATATAGGGGTTATGGAGAAACTTAAACTATGGTCTAATATAGGGATTATGAAGAAACTTAAACTATGGTCCAATATAGGGATTATGGAGAAACTTAAGCTATGGTCCAATATAGGGATTATGGAGAAACTTAAGCTATGGTCCAATATAGGGATTATGGAGAAACGTAAACTATGGTCTAATATAGGGATTATGGAGAAACTTAAACTATGGTCTAATATAGGGATTGTTTAAAAATGCTGTGCCACAAATCATGGTTGTTGAGGTTGTAAGTGGAACTTGGCACTGCACAAGCATTTCATAATTAAACACATCGATATACTGGAATATGGTCACAAGACTACTTGCAATATTTCCTTGTATTGGCATGAAAGTACATAGCTAAACAACTCGAATACTTATTTTAGAAAATAAGTTGGTCATAAAAAGTTTGGAAATGTTAAATGTTTATATTTTTCTCTTTTTCCTGGGATCAATGCCAGATGATGAACATGTGGTAAGACTAGGGCTTCATCTTACCACAGTCTCTATTAAAACGTTAAGTGAGAGATAAGAAAATCATTGCTGGAAATATTATATTTTTATAGATGAAATAGTGCTATACCTATGACAACATGTATTTTGTAATGAGTGATGCTCTTCTGTGCGGATAAGTTATTTATATTATTGATGTTGGACAGTTTTAAATACAATGTTAATTATTAGTCACCAACTTTATGCTAGAAAATATGAAAAAATTCTTGAAATTTAAGAAATATTCTGAAAAAATTTAACGAATTATTTTGAAGTTTCTTTTCTGCTAAAGATGTGAGAAACCTTTAAAATTAAGTTTAAAAGTATACTGTGAAAAACTAGTAAAACTAAGGGTAGTAAAGCAAAAGCAGAACAGATACTTAAACTTGTCTGACTTTTATGTTATCAGATCAGTTTTTAGGTGTTGTCAGTTCTACAAATACAGTAACAAATTATATCTGAGGACAGAATTTAAACAAAATTTCTCTCCTCTCCATTCATTATTTTCTTTTAAATATACAACTAACGATTTTAATACATAGCTGATTTGCTAAATTAATTCATCTTCAACATTTTTTCCTTTCTAATATATAATTTTAATTTGATTAAAATTAACATAATTTAAAATGGAAGTTTTACAAGATTATTCAAGTTTTGGTGTTTACAATATGTTGATGTTCAACCCTCATATATGTAGTTTTGTCTTCTCTTTTTACTAAATTTATTAATTTCAATTTTTCTACCTCTTAATTGGCAAAATTTGGGTTTTCTCACAATAATTAGTTTTACATTTATCTTTAGAGATTTGTTTTCAGTATTCTGAGAAGAAAGTTAAAGTTACTCAAAATGTATTTCGTTAGAGAAGTTTTGTAAATTATGTGGTATATTAAATAATAGGCTATTTGTTTAAATATTGAACTGCTGATTAGTGTGTAATTTTTACAGGTTCTTAAAGGATTAAACTACTTGAGAGAAAATCATCAAATAATGCATAGAGGTAAAGCATATGATATTTGTGTGTTTCTGACTAGAAATACGTATCATTATTAGAGAAGTACGGAATGCTTAGCATGTTGATTTTAGCTTTCTTTGTGATAATGTGAATGAATTGTTATGATCATTTATTTGTATGTGTATCTAATTTGGTTTTTGTTGTAAAATTGGTATCTGAATCTTTACACTTGTTTTATTTTATACATTCACAAATTACACATGAAAGAATTTGAGGAATGAATAGTTTGGATGCAATGTATAACTATGTTTTGCTGTTCTTGTTGTGTGTGGTAATATTTTATTTATTATACGCTGCATATGTAGTAACATTTAGCTTAGCCTGGTGTCAATAAATTTTGTTCAGAGTTGGAAATTTCTCTATTTTTTTCTGCTTCCTTAAAACTTACATTGAATGTTAGTTCTAAACATTTAAGTGCTTAATTTTATTTCAAAAGTATATGCAGTAGTTAGCCATGAAATTAATTCTGCCTGGTTTATTTATTTTTTTGTAATTGTTGGGCCCCTTATGATGCATATTCTTCATAAAATAACTTTAACCAACCTTATTCTTTACAGTGTTGTCGTCTTGTACTAATGGAAGACAGGTACTGGAAATAGTAGTGTTGTCAAAATAGTTAATGTATCTATACTGCCTGCAAGTTCTGAAAGTTGTAGAGTTAACTCTGGCCTCAAAAATCCAATATTAGGCAGTAATCTGGAACATAAGTTATCTGTAATATTAAGACAGGAAGTTTTTGTAAAATGATATCAGTGTTGTATAACTGCTTTTGATTTTTACTGTAGATGTGAAGCCATCAAACATTTTAGTCAACTCTAGGGGAGAGATTAAAATTTGTGACTTTGGTGTCAGTGGGCAGCTTATTGATTCAATGGCCAATTCCTTCGTAGGGACTAGATCTTACATGTCGGTAAGAATTTGTATTCTGTCCTTTTTCATAAAAAGGTTCTTGTTTTATTATTTCAGGGAAATGGCACTAAAATAAATAAATAATAATTTTTTAGAACTATGAAAACTTTCCAAAAACACTGTTGTCTTCTGACATATTTTATTAGTAATAAGTAATATACAAGAATTCCACAGAGTTCCAGAGACACAATTTTTAGCAGAAATTATAATTGTATAGGTATTACTTACTTCCTAAACAGTTATATTTGAAGTTCTTAGAAGTGTTCTAATGTTATACAAGGATCAACTTCAGATTATAAACCAGTTTGATTTATTTTTCTCCAAAAAATAAATTTAACTGCAAAATATAAACGTGTGTAAGAAAACTTTTTATTACATAATTTATATAAAATCTGTGCATAAGCTGAAAGTTACAAAGTAAATTGCTGTTTCTTGCGTACATTAAAAGTTAGCCTGTAAAATATGGTTATTAATAAAGTACATCTTAAAAATTTGATATAGTTCTTGCTTTAACACACAGGTGTTGTATAAGTATGTATAAATCAAACTAGAAATGATTAATCAGTATAATTGATTAACTATGAGCAGCAATTACATTGATTAGTGTTATTATGATTAAACAATTAACATCATTAAAATATAGAACTACTCAATATTAATGTTTCCAATTATTACTGTTTTTGATTAACTGAAATTATGATTAAATCAACAGTCATGAAAACAATGAACTAGCTGAGATTATGGTTCCTTTTTGGGTTTTTCTTATTTTCAATTATTCTATCTATCCAAGTAACCAAAATATTACTGTTATTTTAGTTTGTTATTAAGCACAAAGCTACATAACTGGGAGAGGGTGATAGTGGGGAATGCATGGGGGTTTAAGGATCTCTGGTTTGATTCTTATTGATGCTAAAACTTTCTTGCCCTGTCTTTGTTCTTGTAAAGCTACTAAGGCTACCTCCCATTCTCACTAATTTTGAACTGCTGAGTAGAAGAAAGGCAACGGGCTGGCAGCACCACTGCTAACTCTGGCTTCTTATGTGTTAAATAGTGATTTTTTTTTTTAATCTTGTATAAGCAGGTGTGTATCTTGGGGAGGGGGTCTATGGAGTCCAGCTTCCCATTTTTCAGAAATTGACAACTGATTTTTCCAAAAATACCACTTCTTACATTTATAGCTATTACTCGACTGTTAGGGTTTTTTCTTTTATCTATCTAAGCATTGGTCTGATTTTTTCTCCCTTGCTCCAGTCAGTGCACACTCTATCAGGGTACTGTATATAAGCATCTCATTCAGATAATTTTATCAATTTTTCTCGACAAATCGTTTAGGAACAAGTTTTTCTAAAAAAAATAATATAACAGTCCTTGGGTGCGATTTTTGCATCACATAGTTCATTTACTTAAAAAAAATCTTTTACCTGCCTTACGACACACCATTTTCAGCCATGAATTTCTGGACTACTGTTTCCGGCATGGAGACTAATCAGACCTCCCCTTTGATATCTAGCATCTCTCAACAGTCATTGGGAGGAGCACTTTCAGTTGAGGCTGTCCGTGATCTCATTCGTAGTGAGATGAAGACATATATCTGGTCTGGGGGTATTTCTCTATGTGGGTTCTGAGGCTGCTTTTGCTAATGATCCAGGACATTCTGGAGAGAACTTAGACTCGCTTTTTCTGGCACCTTTGTTTACTAGATCGACTTCTCATGAGGCCAATTTGAATCAGCCACCTCCAGCTCCTTTTCTTCAGTTGGTCACTTGGGTGTATGAGGTTCTGGGGTTTCCCCGGTTGTTTTTGAGTCTACACCTTCCTTGATGGTGGAAAGGTCTGAGGGCAAATACTTAGTTTTCCTCTTCCACCTGATATTGCTGTTCCTGCTGGAAGTATACTGCTCAGTTACGTGAAGGGATAGCTATGCCTTGTCCACCATGCTTGTCAAAACAACATGCTTTGGCTTACCACCACCAGGAAGACACATATTTAGGTTCCCAAAGACTAGATCAACTTTTGAAAATGTGGGGTTCCAGGATGGAGCCTGTGATCAACTTCAACAGATCACAATAGTCTAGAATTTGTCTGACCCTCACTACGGTTCTGAGATATTTATCATCCCTCCAAATTTTGTTGGAAGCCTCTCAGCAATCACAACATCAATTTGACAATGATTTGGGACCTTTGTTGAGATCTATTTTGTAGGATTGTCAACTTCTGCTCTTTCTTTGGTATCTTAGATGGTATGTTGTTGGGGCTTATTGGGTAGAGATGCCTTATTGGAGGTTATTCATCTCTTGGCTACCACCCTCTGTGAGTTATGTGAGGACCTCTTTTTTCATCCCTTGATGTTTGTGAGTGTTCCAGAGCCATTAGAATAACAGATTGATGTTGCACATTTGCATTCTTCATTGTTGTCATTGGCCTTTTGACTTTCTTCAGCTAATACAGGGAGACAAGGCTCTACTGCTCATCATGTGTTCTTACCCCTGACTTCAGCCCCTTGATCTATTGGTACCCAGAATAGATTCCATACTTATCAAAGAGACTCCTCCACTTGGGCAGACCATTGTTAATGGCATCGGTGACTACCCTATACCAGTTGAGTTTGTGGGGGCGTGGTTACATTTTCTGGACATATGGGATTCCTTTACCACAGATCCATGGGTACTTCAGGTTCTTGCATTGGGGTTAGTCATTCAGTTCACATTTCCACCACCATTATCCCCCCCAACCTGTAGTGTTTCCATATCCAACAGATCCTCATATTGTGGACCTTTGGTCCAAGGCTGTAAGAGAGTTGTTGGTCAAGGGGGCAGTAGAGAGAGCCGATCAAGTTCTTCTGGGATTTTATTCCCATCTATTTGTTGTGCCCAAGAAAATGAGAGATTGGCATCCTATCATTGGTCTTTTTAGTCTCAACCAATTTTTAGATCCTCACAGATTCAAGATGGTGTCATTCCTCACTCTACATTGCCATTTTTCACCAGGACTGTAGATGACCAAGTTCGATGTTGCTGATGCCAATCTCCACATTCCCACAGTGGAGTCATCCCGCCACTATCTATGTTTCATGCACAAGGGTCAGGTACTGCAGTTCAGGGCTCTATCCTTTGAACCAGGATCTATACTATATGTGTTCTGCAGAATTGTATGAGCTTGTTCTCCCTGCCATCATTCTTTAGGCCTGTGTACACACCATTATATGGATGACTGGGTATTCCTAGCACCGTCTTGTCAGTTGGCAGAATGTCACATCCAGTTCTCCTTTCAAAAGTCGCTAAGGCAGGCTTTATTATTAAAGCTGGGGAATTTATTCTCATGCCAAGTCAATACAGCATCTATCTGGGTGTCTTTTTCAATATGTATTTCATTCAGACTCAGCCAACTCCCATCTGGCTCCATGCTATGGAACAAGCAGTCTGACTTTTATCTCGTTCTCTCACTGCATGGATGGTACTTTCTCTTTTGGGGATGTGGGCATCTTTTGGATCTATAATTCCTTTGGAATAGGCACACATTAGATCCCTTCAGTGGTCACTGTGAGACCAATGGATCATTAACAGCAGTCCACTGGATCACCCTGTCCCCTTATTCAGGATCAACATCTTAGATCTCTATTGGGGATAATATTGGAACAATATTACAATAAGTGTTCCTCTACTACCCCCTCGTCTTAAAATCCATCTCTTCACAGATACTTCCCTTCAGGGATGGGATGCATAAATCAACAGTCAGGAATTTCAGGGCCTATGGATGGATGACATCTTCCTTCTACATCAGTATTTTAGAGCTTCTTACTGTCCAAAGGCCAATGTCTCAAGGTCTAGAATTATTAAAAGAAAAAATCATCATGCTTCACTCTGAGAATTCCACAGTGGTATGTTACATTTCCCGACAAGGGGCACTCACTCACGGGATCTTTGTTTTTAAACATTGGATCTTCTTGTAATGGGCTTACTCCCATCATAACAGTCTATTAGCTTGCCATGTTCCAGGTGTGATGAATTTGCTAGCAGATCATTTGTCTCGACCCAACTGAATGAATGGTACATCTTGAGGATTTCTGGTGGATTTGCTCATGGTTTGGGACACTGATGATCGATGCATTCTCCACTCATTGTTACTCTCAACTGCAAGCCTTGTTTATCACCAGTAAACTCATCCTCGGACATTGGCGAAACATGCATTCAGTCAGGACTGGAAAGGATTGGACCTATATGCCTTCCTACCAATTCATCTGTTATCCAGAGCTCTGGCTATGATTCAATCCACCCCTTGTCAGATGCTGTTGGTAGTCCTGGATTGGCTGGCTCAACCATGGTTTCCACTTATTCAGTATCTTCAAGAGTGCCCACCTCTGCTACTTCCTCTCTGGCCAACTCTGTTGAGGCAACTACAATGCGACATTATATGCCCAGACATTCCAAAGCTCATGCATGGAAGGTATGTGATCCTTTGTACAGCATCAGGGTTTAACTTGTAAAGTTGCCATGTATTTGTCTCAATATTGCCATAGACCCACAATGGACATTTATCAAAGGAAATGGCACACTTATCGACAATGGTGTCTTACAAGTAAATTGAACCCACTTCACCCAAATGTGTCAACCATAGCTCATTTTTTTATCTGGCTTTTTGACAAAAGTTTAGCACCACCTACAATTGCCTTGTATGAGGCATCTTTATCGACTACATTTCCATACTCAAAAAGTCTGAAATTATTTTTGAGTCCCCAGTGCTATCTGCCCTTCTCATGTCTTTTTCAAGTCCTTCATCCCAAAAGGCCTTTTCAGTTACATAACTAGGATATTATCATGGTATTACATGCTTTGTTTCAACATCCAATCAAGCCATTGGCCTCATGTACCATGTATCACCTATCCCTTAAAGTTTATTTTTTGTTGTTGCTGGCCTGTGGACGTCGTCAGTCAGAGTTGTTTGCACTGCATGTGTACATGATTCTTTATCACTATTTATGTCCATCTGAACCCAGATAGGTCC